GGCCGTTTTTCCATCGGCCCAACGTGGATTCAGCTTGTTGGCTGTCTCTTATACACATCTAGATGTGTATAAGAGACAGGCTATATACTGGTCTCAACAAATTGGTATTTAATTGGAGAGGGCATTAAAGGGAAAGGCTGTGTGTTACACTAACTTTCATTTCCTTAAATTTGTCATTATAACACAGGCAGTATGTCTAGAAAAAATTGTTTTCACTTACTAGCAACATGTTCTAGTCATGGACGAGCTGAATTAATGTTTCTAATTTTCAGCTGCTTTCTGTGAAAATAAAACAATTCAACACATTTTTATACTAGCTATACAATATACTGTACTATGTTGCTAAACCAATTTTTTGTTGTTTTTACTATTTCAAAATTTCTATCTGTGCAATTTATAAAGACTAAATGACATTTACTTTTCTGTAACAGACTTTGATGACTGAGGGCGCCCTTGTAAACATTGCTTCTAACCCGGTGTGTGACTAAGCTTCATTTAATTTGTCTTTTTAGTTATGTAATGGGGGTCATGACCCCCGGCCAGCCACGTGTTGCCCATTTGGATCATTACAGGACTGCTGCTCTTCCGATGATGGTCACAGTCTGCATCACTGATGTTCAGTACTGAGAATCTAATTCAAAAATAATTAAATCATAATTAATCAAGATGGGTGCACAGCGTCTTTGACCACAGATTTGGATTTGGCGCTATATAAATCCTTAGCATTTTATTTGTATTATTAATAATCTAACCATTTAATTAGACATTTGCTGATATGTACTGAACTGACGTTAAATTAAAAAATGATAAAAATGTTACTGGTATTAAAATGATGATTATGTAATTAATTATTATCATTATTATTATTATTATTATTATTATCATTATAATCATCACATCATGACAACAGATTTTTTTCCAATAATCTGGACAGAGCTTAACTATTTATTTAAACATTTGCTGACCTGTACTGAGGATGTTAATAATAAATGATAATGATAATAATAATGATGATAATGATTATAAGTATAATGATGATGATAAAGATGAAGATGATTTTGCTAAAAGCAGGCTCCGTATTAATGAAAAAAATGTTTTGATAATTTGTACAACTGATTATTCTCAGATACAAAAAAGGTGTATAAGCACCCATTTTCACTGTTTCTCTTTAAACAGCTTTTTTGTGTCAGAAAAAGCAGTTGTACAATTAACATATCAATAATTTCTTCGTATCTGGAACCTGGCTTTAATGATGGTGATTAATGATGAAAATAATATATAAAAATATGATGAGGATAATGCTGATGATAATTGTATTGATTATGATGTACTGTATTCAGTATCAGGCTATGTCTGAAGTATAAACATGCTTTATTATTACAGCCGGTCACAGGACATTTGCTTCAGTTTGAGTACGCTCACTATCAGGTTAAAGGTCAATAGCCAGGTGGGCTTTGTCTGCTGCTTTAGAACTACAGTGGAAAAGTGTTTACTACTGTGCAGTAATACATGCATCGTTATCGTTATACCAACATATTTTGCATTGTATTATTTCGGTATTTAAGAAATATAATTTTGGCGATTTTTCGTCATTTAAGAATAATAAAATTAGAATTAAGAACACAAGATATAAACAAACAATAAATGGAATGAGTTCCTTATGTATGGGGTGCCATACGCAGCAAAAGTCCATGTTAAAATCAAAATGTAATTGCAAAATTCAATGTCTAATTTATCAAAACGTAGGCGTAAATTTTTCAAAATGTAGATCTAGTTTCTAAAATGAAGTTCTAATTTTTGAAAACGTAGTTCAAATTTTCCAAAATGTAGTTCTAATTTCTTTAAAATGTAATTCAAATTCAAAACGTAGGTCTAACTTGATCAAACGCCCTCTCCAAATTCTATTCCAAAACGTAAATCAAAAACCAGCCTGGTTTGAAATGCATTTTACAACAACACTAGAAATAGACCTGTCTCTTATACACATCTAATATAATTTATCTAATTTCAAAACAATAGCATCTACAGTGCTTCGGTTGCTCCTGTACGCAAATTGGTAAGGATCCATCATATCAGTAACTAGGGGCCTTAGTTTATTTAATAATAATTTCTCAAACACTTTCATAGCTGCAGAAGTGAGGGCAATCGGTCTAAGATCATTCATGCATCCAATGACTGGGTTTTTTGGAATAGGTATGATACATGATGTTTTCCATAAGTCTGGTATTTTCTGTAAGGAACAACGCTTCCCAGTGCGTCTGCTAATTTTTAATGGTCAGGGTACCGCGATCACGAGCCCTATGCTAGGCATTATAGGCAAGGCTTATGTGGGTTGGGATTTGCAACAAGGTCTTGGACTAGGCCTATATACTATAGTAGGAGGCCTAGTCCTAGTCTAGGCCTATAATATACGGTAGTAAAATTCTGTATAAGTAGTCATATGATTACAGGTTTACATTGTACCATGATCGATATTAACGATCGCATTTATTTTTCTTATTGAAAGAAAACTTTAAATAATTTAACTTAAGGATTTTAAAATATTCCAAACATGTACGCTTAAAAAAAAAATAAATAAATATAGTTAACTTAACACAAACAACACGATAGGATATAAAGTTTGAGAGAATAATTGTTATACTGTACTGTATTTCTGAAGTGCCATTCGTTTTGGGGTTGCTACAATCAAGAGTTACAATCGATCCAACAAAGGAAAGCACTACAGTATCTATTTCCTTACATTCCCAAAAGGAGGATGCTATTTTAAATTTGCTGGAGATTGAAAAATTAACTGTGTGATCAATCTGCAAAGCAGATTGATCACAAAATCAGAAGCATGATCTCAAACATCAGAACCCAGCTTTTATTGTTTAAAACTGTCGGGGCCCCATTGAATGAAACTACGGTATTATATAGTTTATATTATATTTTTTTTAAGTAGAATGTCGGGGCCGCCCGCGCCTGGGGCCCTGGCGCTGTACTATATTATAGGCCTAGACTAGGACCAGGCCTCCTACTATAGAGGCCTAGTCCAAGACCTTGTTGCAAATCCCAGCCCACATAAGCCTAGCATA